TGCAGCTTGGAGGCGGGCTGCCTTCGTCCTCCTCTCGTACTCGTTCACCTCCTCCCTGGTTATAACATATCTCCCTTTTGCTTGAAAGTTAAATAAAGCGGGAGCAGGGAGAGCGACATGATAGGTGCGTCGTCTGTCAAAGATTAGTCGGTACTGGAGGGACTGATCATTCATCTCAACAAACTGATGATGAACCATAGCATTATAATCCAAATAAGCAGGAGGCAACTCAATAGCATCTCCATGTATGGGTATCTCAAGAAAATCAACTAAACGGGTTGCATAAATTCCACCAAAGAAATCTTCGTTAATACTATTATTATGCAACCTATGTGCAACAATGGCTCCCAAGTTATATTGTCTATCTCCTAATACAACACTCTTGAGAACACTAAGATCGGGAACACACATGTGACATGCCTCGTCCTTACCGTTAATGCATCTACCTATAAAGAGAGCAAAATAATATATGGCAGGAAAATGAATGCTCCCTATGGTAGCTTGCGCGATCTCCCTAGATTCCCCCACAGTTATACTAGCAAGAAAGTCTATATTCGGATTTTCAAGGCTCACTAGCACTACCCCACTGAGGGAGTTTACAAGCAGTATTAAAATCTTCTAAGTCCATGGTATAAGATTTATCATAAAGATCAAACATGATAGTTTGAGAATTGCGTGATGATGTAAATTTAAACCTTCTCACAAATGAATCATTTAAATAGAGGTACTGACGGCACTTATCTGACTCGAAGCTCTCAAGGTAGCGTTACGCACATATGCTTCAAATTCCTCCTTAATTCCCGCCTGGACAATGAAATTTTCTGACGGCCATTCACAAGGCCGCACTTGTGCTTCTCTTGGTAGTTCATTGTCCGGCTCACGTATTGCGGGCTTGGTCCTTGCTTCCTTGAGGAACCACCTTGGTACATTTTCCTAAACATATTTCTTCCTCTGAAAATTTTCTGAAATTTTTAGTAACTCAAAAATAAAAGTGAACCAAACTCAACAAGATTGATAGCAACTACTCCTACAAGTGTCTAGAGGCTATATCATGCATTAAAACTACTTTTGACCACATAAATTTGACATGCAAGCTCAAGAACAAAGTCACCTAAGCAGCAATAAATTGCAATAAATCAAGCACTAGAACAAAAACTAGTTGGACCATTAGAGGAATCACATACCAAAGAACAATCCCCCAAAGCAGTTTTGTGAATGGAGCTTTGAGCAAGGAGATCAAAAATGGCAGCAAGATGAGCTAGAACACGGGTTTGAGCTGATTGGTGATTTTTTTGGGAGGAAGAAGGAGTGTGTGGTGGCTGGAATAAGTGGAGGGGGGCCACCATGGGCCCACAAGGCAGGGGGACGCGCCCATGATTTTGGACGAGCTCTCTCGACGGCTAGTCTTAATGGTGTATATATAACACCTATCCCAAAGCCTCCTCCTATTGTCTCTCCTTTGATCCAAAGGCTCTAGGTGAAACCAAAGCTTTCCCAAAACATCCATTCCCCCATTTGAATAACTTTCATCATGTTAAGTATATGATAGTTTCACACCACTTACAGAACACAATAACAAATAAAAACCAACAAATAATTGTAGGAAATATGCCCTAGAGGCAATAATAAATTGGTTGTTATCATATTTCCCGTTCATGATAAATGTTTATTATTCATGCTAGAATTGTATTGACCGGAAACTTAAATACATGTGTGAATACATAAACTACACCATGTCCCTAGTAAGCCTCTACTAGACTAGCTCATTGATCAAAGATGGTTAAGGTTTCCTAACCATGGACATGAGTTGTCATTTGATAACAGGATTACATCAGTAGGAGAATGATGTGATGGACAGACCCAACAGTAAGCTTAACATGAGATCATTTAGTTATTTGATATAGCTTTCTTCATGTCAAGTATCAGTTCCTTAGACTATGAGATCATGCCACTCCCGGATACCGGAGGAATGCTTTGTGTTCTATCAAACGTCACTTCGTAACTGGGTGATCGTAAAGGTGTTCTACAGGTATCTCCGAAGGTGTTTGTTGAGTTGCATGGATCGAGACTAGGGTTTGTCGTTCTGTGTGATGGAGAGATATCTCCGGGCCCTCTCGGTAATACAACATCATAAGAAGTTTCATGTGACTAATGAGTTTAGTTAAGGGATCTTGTATTGCGGAAAAAGTAAAGAGACTTGCCGATAAGAGATTGAACTAGGTATGGAGATACAGACGGTCAAATCTCGGGCAAGTAACATATCGCCGGATAAAGGGAATTTCATACTGGATTGACTGAATTCTTAACATCATGGTTCAACTGATAAAGATCTTCGTTGAATATGTAGGAATCAATATGGGGATCCAGGTCCCACTATTGGTTATTGACTGGAGAGGAGTCTTGGTCATGGCTGCATGTTCCAAACCTGTAGGGTCGCACGCTTAACATTCTATAGAGCTAGGGTAGTATTAAGATATTAATAGAGGAAAGTCTGAAGTTTGTTTGGAGTCCTAGACGGGATCCGGGATATCATGAGGAGCTTCAGAATGGTTCGGAGGTAAAGATTTATATATGGGAAGTCCTGTTTTGGCTACCGAAAAAGTTTGGGGGCATGCGACAACTATACAGGAGGCATCGAAGGGTTCCGAGGGTCCACCGGGGGGTCCACCAGCCCTGGGGACCCACATGGGCTGTAGGGTGCGTCCTGGCCTAGTTGGGCCAGGTGCATCAAACCTACCCCCAAGAGGCCCATGCGCATAGGGCTAACGGGAAACCCTAGGTGGGAGGCGCCCCACTTGACTTGGGGGCCAAGTCTCCCCCTAGAGCTGCTGCCCCCTCCCTTGGAGGAGGGGCTAGGGCCAGCGCCCCCTCCCTCTTGCCCCTATATATAGTGGGGAGGTGGGAAGGCAGCCATACATCTCCACCCTTGCCCTCTGTCGCTCCCAACTTGTCGCACCTTTCCTCTGGTACGCGCTTGGCAAAGCCCTCCCGGACACCACCGCCATACCGCCGTGTTGGTTCCGATCTCATCTCCCTCCTCTCTCTCACTTGCTGGATCAAGAAGGAGAGGACACCATCGATTTGAACGTGTGCTAATCTCGTTGGTGCTATCCGTTCGGCACTAGATCGGATTGGATCGTGAAGAGTACGACTACATCAACCGCGTTACGACATTAAAGCTTCCGGTCTACAAGGGTATGTAGACACACTCCTCTCTCGTTGCTATACATCTCCTAGATTAGATCTTGGGTGTTTCGTAAGAATTTTTTTGATTCTCATGCAACGTTTCCCACCAACAATAAAGATTATGCAATGCTCGCCGTGAAAAGTAAATACTGAAAATTATGCGTATGGACATGTATGGGAGATGTTTGAGATAGTAGGCAACAAATTGGTTCTAAAAATGCGTATATGGTAGAGCCATCAGCTACATGTATATGTCTTGACATCATCCGACCCACTCCATACATCCAGCAGGAATCACCGTCCAACCATTCGGTTAGACTTAATGTGTTGTTAATACGTTCGTCTGATTTCGAAAATCCAAAAAACGTATTTTCTCATTCTTTTGCATTTCCTGTCCATGTCTCTTTTGCTCCTCACAAGTCACAAAATTCATCGCTTCTCCATCTATGTTGTCCATGACATGCTACCCTTGCCTCCTTTTGGCATTTTCCAGTGCTGCTCACTCGTTGTGCCCAAACCTTTACGACGCTCATGGCCATCAACAGCCGCTCGAGCAAACGGCTAACGGTAGACCAGCCTCAGAGTTTCTTCATCTGGTTCACGACATAAGGAGATTTTTCTAGTTAACAAAGATGTTTGGTACCATTCAAAACATGTACGGTACATTTAAAAGAATTCTACACGTGTTTCAAAAAAATGTTCATGACATTTTAGAGAAACACCAGACAATGTAAAAAATGTTCTTGTCACTATTAATTTTGTTTCGTAACATTAAAAATGTACTTGATTTTTTTACATGTTCACGTGTTTCCAAAATATGTTTCTGACATTATATATATATATATATATATATATATATATGTATGTATATAATGTAAGAAATTTATGTATTTTAAAAAAAATAACATTAAAAAAGTTCAGTGTGTATGCATTTGAAAAAAAATTAGCATGTTTAAAAAAATAAAAATTTATATTTAAAATTATTGAACATATATCAATAAAAATTTACACTTGCATAAGAAAAATGTACAATGTGTATTAGAAAAAATAGGCATATTTTTTTAAAAAAAAGACCAAAGAAAACCTACGAGAACTGAAGAAAAACAAAAAAACAAAGAAAAACAGAAAACACACAGAAAATAAAAGAATAAAGGAAAACCACCAATGAAAACAGGTAAGAATAATGAAAATTCCTAACAAAAATACATAAAAAATACTCATGCCAGAGGCAGCTAAAATACTGGGCCGGTCCATTAGCCTCGAGCCAGAGGCGTAGCTACCGTGACTTATGCAAGGAGAGAAATGTTTCTAAAAAATGCATTAGGCGAGAAATAGACCCTTTTTTCTTGGATATCAAGGCGAGAAATAGACATGGTGTGATTGCTCTGGGATTCTTCTCATGCCTCAGTCATATTCTTTCTCTTTTTTGACATTGATTCTTAAAAACAGATTCTCTAAAATCTGGTGAAAAAAATGGCCCATAAACTCAGATTTAGGCGAGCCACTTGAACGAAAGGGCAACACTTATAAAAACGCTTATAGAAAACACTACTATAAAAAAACGCCCGGCAAGAGCGCGCGAATGAATCAACGCCGTGCGCTGCAGGACAAGAGCCGCCGCGTTGGCCATCTCATCCGAAGCTCAGAAGCATACAACCCCAACTTGGGCGGTAGTCGGTAGACGACGCGGAAGGAGCGGAGGCGACCAGGCGACGGTGGCGACACAGCGGCACACACGTCGGCTGGCGGCCGCAGAACAAAAAAAGGAGCACGCTAAGATGCGGTAGTAGTAAGCGAGGCTCTCTTGTGTCTGCATGCCGATAACCGCTAAGCTCTTCTACTACCAGCGCCGCCGCCCGCCGCCGCCACCGATTCCGGAGACCGCCGAGCCCCGCTGCATCGACTCCTCCGCCGCCCGCCGCCTGGTTCACCCCATTCGCTCCGCGCACCACAGGCCGGTGAGATGACCATTTCAAAGTCGCCTCTGCGTCTCCTGTCTGCCTCTGTTTCTTCCCCTTGCGATGCGTGTGCCCGACCCTCTGTCTCGACTCGGTAGTGAGTAGGGAGGTTTTGCGGCGAGTTCCTGCGGAGCGGATACTCCGTTTTGGTATGTGTAATCCAGCTTATGATAAGCGTGCCTTGTGTTCGATGAAATGACACACCGGGTTGTTACGGGGTAGCGAGCAGGAGGACTATAGTTAGTTCTGTGTCGTCCAAAGGGACCCAAAATCACTGGGAACCCAAATAGTACTATAATTGATTGAGGATGGTTTAATAGGCAATGGCTCCTCGTCGGTGGACGTTATATGATATTGTGAAGCAAGAATTAGATTCCTGTCTTAAAAAAATGCAAATCGAGATTCCAAACGGCACATTCTCCTTGAATATTTTGGTTACTGCATAATTTTCAGACAGAATGATGATCCCTCATCATGATTGGGGTAAACAGTTTGATTCTCTAGAACAACCATTTTGGCAAGGGAACATAAGGTATATGCTCGCAAAAGAAATAGGAGAGGCATAAATCATGTGCAGTGTTAAGCAATACTCTGAATTGACGAATCAAATTGCATGATTGTATTCAGGGTGACCCTAAAAAGGTGTCATTTTACATTTTATAGTTGCCAAAAAAATTGTTTCTTTGATATGGTTAATTTGTCCGGTCAGTCTGTTGGTTAATCCAAAGCTAGTCATGCACTCATGTGTTTCATGGTGTTAAATTACTGGTGCGAAATGTGCCAAGGTGTCATAAAACAAGAGGGTGCTCTTCATGTGTGTGGTGCTGCTTACTAGTACTTACTGCTATGTGCCTTTCATGTGCAAGTTGTTGCTCGTGCTCCAATATTTAATGATCAGTACATTTAGCATAAATTTGATGTAACTAGCATTTAGCATGATCATCTTAAGATATATTGGCCTTGTGGTGTCAATTTGGATTGCCTATCTTTTGTCAATACAAGATAGTAAAAGGGCAAAGTATTATTGGCTTTTCCGGAGTTTATGTGAGTCTGCTGAGCTATGAGCATGTAAAAATTAGAATGAAGTGCACTGCAACTAATTGCAAAGATGTGTAGTTTACTTCTGTGAGAAAAGTTCAGTTATCCTGTAAATGTTCCACAAAAGTTTTATGTTTGACCAGTAAACCCATCGGGGTGCTATGGAATGCAATCATTTGTTCGCACTAAATGCTTCCGTTGAAGATCTTCTAGACATGCTTGGTCTTTTTATGATTAGTCAAAGTGTTTACGTTCTACACTTTCCAGATTAATTTTGTTTCCAGTACAAACTTTTGTGAAATATTGGTCATTAGTAAGTAGAAACTTCAGTGACTCTGGATTGTGAATTTCTTATCTGTCAATTTATATAACACAGGGCTATGATGTTTTTGGAGGAAGCCCGAGAGAGCGAGGGGCGTCTAGCGGAAGCATAACCGAACCAACAAGGAACGTGCTCTTCAGCACAAGACAAAGCAGCAACACATCAAATGACCGACTTCCTGATGCGGTTCAACAGGCCAAGGAGAGGCTTCATCAAAGGCTCCGAAGTGTCGACCTGTTTCCAGGGAGAAGGTACGCATCGGCATTTAGCGCACAGCGTTGGCTCGTCTTAAGCACCGATCTATGCACTTCGATATTTCCTGTTCTGCATTGATCCTCAGTTTCCCGGTTGTTTCAGGCTAACAGCACCAGCTGTAGGAACCATTTGGGCTGGACCTGATCTTCCTTCTGAATGTGATACCTGCTCATCAGAGGACGGCGGATTGGTTAACCGGACTATTCGCTTCAACTCCAACGCCTCCCTGTCAGGCCACAAAGATAAACAGGTCACAGCAGAGACGTTTAGCAACGCGGCGGTGGTAGCGCCACATGATCTGAGGCCTGTCTCCAAACTAGGACAAGAAGCTCTCCAAGGAACAATCGACAGTGACGACGACGTGGAGTCCTCAGTGGACTGTTCGATATGCCTTGAAGGATGCCATGGTGCATCAGGCGGGCTGATCCAGCTGCGCTGCAAGCACATCTTCCATTCGGCCTGCCTGGAGCAGTGGCTGCAGTCCCGCGCCGATTGTCCGTACTGCAGGGCCGGCGTCGTCCTATCCTACCACGGAAGGAGTGGCCTGGAGTATTAGCAGGGCGTTGCGGCTTTTGTAAAAGAAGGAACACTCGAGTTGCTACTTGCTGTGTGCTTTTTGACATGTTTGCTTCAGGATCAAGTTTTGCTGCAGAAGGCTTGAAACAGAGGTGCATGTCTGTAACTCGATTCTGCAGCCCTCTGTGCACTTAGTTTTGCTCTTTTTAGACTGTTGCAGACCTGGGCACGAGCTCACGGCGGATCCTTTTTCTTTTTGTGTTTTTCTTTTTCGTTTTATTTTATTTTATTTTTTATTTTTTTTTCCTCTTTCTTTCTTTTCTTATTTTTTATTTCTTTTTACCTTTTCGTTTTTCCCATTTCTTTTTCTTTTCCGTTTTGAATTCAATTTTTTGTTTATCAGATTTAAAAATTGTTCATCAAAATTCAAAATTTGATCAACAACAAACAACAACAACAACAACAAAGCCTTTAGTCCCAAACAAGTTGGGGTAGGCTAGAGGTGAAACCCATAAGATCTCGCAACCAACTCATGGCTCTGGCACATGGATAGCAAGCTTCCACGCATCCCTGTCCATAGCTAGCTCTTTGGTGATACTCCAATCCTTCAGGTCTCTCTTAACGGACTTCTCCCATGTCAAATTCGGTCTACCCCGCCCTCTCTTAACATTCTCCGCACGCTTTAGCCGTCCGCTATACACTGGAGCTTCTGGAGGCCTGCGCTGAATATGCCCAAACCATCTCAGACGATGTTGGACAAGCTTCTCCTCAATTAGTGCTACCCCAACTCTATCTCGTATATCATCATTCCGGACTCGATCCTTCCTCGTGTGGCCACACATCCATCTCAACATACGCATCTCCGCCACACCTAATTGTTGAACATGTTGCCTTTTAGTCGGCCAACACTCTGCGCCATACAACATTGCGGGTCGAACCGCCGTCCTGTAGAACTTGCCTTTTAGCTTCTGTGGCACTCTCTTGTCACAGAGAATGCCAGAAGCTTGGCGCCACTTCATCCATCTGGCTTTGATTCGATGGTTCACATCTTTATCAATACCCCCATCCTCCTGCAACATTGACCCCAAATACCGAAAGGTGTCCTTCCGAGGTACCACCTGGCCATCAAGGCTAACCTCCTCCTCACACCTAGTAGTACTGAAACCGCACATCATGTACTCGGTTTTAGTTCTACTAAGCCTAAACCCTTTCGATTCCAAGGTTTGTCTCCATAACTCTAACTTCCTATTTACCCCCGTCCGACTATCGTCAACTAGCACCACATCATCCGCAAAGAGCATACACCATGGGATATCTCCTTGTATATCCCTTGTGACCTCATCCATCACCAATGCAAAAAGATAAGGGCTCAAAGTTGACCCCTGATGCAGTCCTATCTTAATCGGGAAGTCATCGGTGTTGACATCACTTGTTCAAACACTTGTCACAACATTATCGTACATGTCCTTGATGAGGGTAATGTACTTTGCTGGGACTTTGTGTTTCTCCAAGGCCCACCACATGACATTTCGCGGTATCTTATCATAGGCCTTCTCCAAGTCAATGAACACCATATGCAAGTTCTTCTTTTGCTCCCTATATCTCTTCATAAGTTGTCGTACCAAGAAAATGGCTTCCATGGTCGACCTCCCAGGCATGAAACCAAACTGATTTTTGGTCACGCTTGTCATTCTTCTTAAGCGGTGCTCAATGACTCTCTCTCATAACTTCATTGTATGGCTCATCAGCTTAATTCCACGGTAATTAGTACAACTCTGAACATCCCCCTTGTTCTTGAAGATTGGTACTAATATACTCCGTCTCCATTCTTCTGGCATCTTGTTTGCCCGAAAAATGAGGTTGAAAAGCTTGGTTAGCCATACTATTGCTATGTCCCCGAGACCTTTCCACACCTCAATGGGGATACAATCAGGGCCCATCGCCTTGCCTCCTTTCATCCTTTTTAAAGCCTCCTTCACCTCAGACTCCTGGATTCGCCGCACAAAACGCATGCTGGTCTCATCAAAGGAGTCGTCTAGTTTAATGGTAGAACTCTCATTCTCCCCATTGAACAGCTTGTCGAAGTACTCCCGCCATCTATGCTTAATCTCCTCGTCCTTCACCAAGAGTTGGCCTGCTTCGTCCTTGATGCATTTGACTTGGCCAATGTCCCTCGTCTTCCTCTCTCGGATCTTGGCCATCTTATAGATGTCCCTTTCACCTTCCTTCGTGCCTAACCGTTGGTAGAGGTCCTCATATGCCCGACCCCTTGCTTCACCAACAGCTCGCTTTGCGGCCTTCTTCACCATCTTGTACTTCTCTATGTTGTCTGCACTCCTATCCAGGTATAGGCGTCTGAAGCAATCTTTCTTCTCTTTAATCGCCTTCTGGACGTCATCATTCCACCACCAGGTATCCTTATCTTCGCGTCTCCTTCCCCTAGACACTCCAAACTCCTCCGAGGCGACCTTACAAATGCAAGTCGCCATCTTCATCCACACATTGTCCGCATCCCCTCCTTCCTCTCAAGGGCCCTCCTTAATGACCCTCTCCTTGAACACCTGAGCTACCTCCCCCTTGAGCTTCCACCACTTCGTTCTAGCGACTTTGGCACGCTTATCCCGCTGGACACGAATCCGAAAGCGGAAGTCAGCAACCACCAGCTTATGCTGGGGTACAACACTCTCTCCAGGTATCACCTTACAGTCTAGGCACGCACGCCTATCTTCTCTTCTTGAGAGGATGAAATCAATCTGGCTAGAGTGTTGGCCACTACTAAAAGTCACCAGATGTGATTCTCTCTTTCTAAAGAGGGTGTTAGCTACAATCATGTTGTAGGCTAGAGCAAAGCTTAAGACATCTTCTCCTTCTTGATTCCTGATGCCATGGCCAAAGCCCCCATGCGCCCCTTCAAAACATGTGTTAGATGTACCCACGTGGCCATTGAGGTCTCCTCCTATGAAGAGCTTCTCACCAATCGGTACACTCCTAACCATGTCTTCCAGGCCTTCCCAGAACTCCCTCTTGGTGTTCTCATTGTGGCCTACTTGCAGGGCATACGCGCTGATAACATTGAGAACCAAGTCCTCAACTACCAGCTTGACCAAGATAATCCGGTCCCCACGTCTCTTGACGTCTACCACTCCATAGTTGAGGCTCTTGTTGATCAAGATGCCTACGCCATTTCTGTTTGCAGCCGTCCCCGTGTACCACAGCTTGAAGCCGGTATCCTCCACCTCCTTCGCCTTCTTTCCTCTCCATTTGGTTTCTTGGACGCAAAGGATATCAACACCTCTCCTCACCGCTGCATCAACTAGCTCCCGAAGCTTCCCTGTCAGAGACCCTACGTTCCAGCTACCTAAGCGAATCCTTCTAGGCTCGGCTAGCTTCCTTACCCTTCGCACCCGTCGAGTCAAATGCGAAGACCCTTGCTCATTTTCCACTACACCCGGGCGCCGATGTAGCGCGCCACTAAGGATGCGACGACCCGATCCTCGCTCACTTGCCACCGTATCCAGATCAAGATACGGCGCGCCACTTGGGGGTGACGGCCCGGCCCTTGCCCAGTTTCCACCACACCCGGGTTCCGATGTGGCGCGTCGCTGAGAGGGTTACGCCCCAACAAAAATCTTTTGGGTTTCATCTCCATAAGAGTGGCTGAGTTTTTACATTGGCTCGCCAAGCCTATCACAACCCTCCTCCTTTATCCGGGCTTGGGACCGGCTATGTTGAGACAACATAGGCGGAGTTAAAATTCAAAATTTGATCATCGAACTAAAAACATTTCATCAAATTCTATATTTTTGTTCATCATTTTCAAAAAATGTTCATCAAATTCAAAAAAAAATCCTTGAATACCAAAAAATTTCATCATTTTTTCGAAAAAGTTCTTGAATACAGATTTTGTTTATCTAGTTCGAAAAATATTCATCGAATTCAAAATTTCTTCATCAAATATCAAAAATTGTTCATCATTATTAAAATGCTCATAAAAAGTTGTTCATCAAAATAAAAATATGTTCATTAAAATTAAAAGAATGTCCATTCTTTTTAAAATCACAAACATTTTTTTAGTTCAAGAAATGTTTTTGACAATTCAATTTTTTATGAATTTTTAGAACTTTTTGTAATCCGGAATTATTTGAACATAGAATAGAAAATCAAAAAGAAAAGTAAAACTGAAAAAGAAAAAAAACAGCGAGCGTCTCGCCCCGTACATGGCCAGCCCAATAGGGCTCGCGGGGGGCTGGAAGGAACGCGCTGCCACTCTTGCCAGCGTGTACCTCGCCGTATAGGAGCTCCCAGACATAGTTTAAAAAACCGGACCGGACCGGCGGTCGAATCGGAAAAAACCGGAACTGGCAGCCTCATCGGGTTTTTAAGCTAATAAGATCGATATGCAATCAAACTAGAAAAAACCGATCAAACCGGCCGGTTTTCTGGAAAACCGATGAATAAACCGGGTAATTGAACCGGAAAAAACCAGGAAAAAGTTTTAATAGAAATTGGGAAAGTGGGATTCGATCCAATGGCATGTGAGCAGTAGGCGGGGCCTGCCCATGGCCCAATAACCAACTTGGTTGTGCTACTTTGTTCTCCACTACATGGTTATAATTTTATTTGACCATTGTTTCACTCTATATTAGCATATATATTATTTTATTTTTTAAAAAACCAACAATCGAACCGGTGTACCGGGGATCTGACCGGTAAAAACCTGAACCGACAGTCTTTCTGGTTCGACTTTTTAAACTATGCTCCCAGAGCTCACTAGGGGGGTGACCTAACTTCCCCCGAGTTGTGCCCTTCACAGGTTAATCTGTTGGCTGAGAACACAGTTAAAGCTTTGGTTGTTCTTGTGGGGAGCTTCTATTCAGCGCATTTAGCGCCATAGAATCCAACCAGCGCACACTACCGTGCGTAGTGGGCCGACCACGAAGGCAAACCGCAAAATCACTAATTAAATAGCACTCTTTAGAAAGGTCATTCCCACCTCTTCAGGTTACGACAAAGCGCACTGCATATCAAAAATTAGTCGCA